AGAAATCTCTAAAGACGATCTTATTTTTTCGTTTTTCGTGTTTCTTTATTGATTAATTAACAATATGGGTGCAAATCAATTAAACTTTTGATAGGGATATGGATAATTACTATTACTATTACTGTCCGCAATTTGTTGAATGCTGATTTTACATATATTATTTGAACAGTAACAATGCACCTCCAAGTTTGACCATGAGCGAAATAATAAACAAACGAATATTCAAAGCCACAATTAGATTTCAATAATTATTTTTTGACTTATCATCGAAAACCGATGGATCATGGGTATTCATGCACCCAGAGATAGTATAAAAATGGCACATTTGAACTTCTGAGGCCACAATTGGTAGATAGTTAAGAGATATTGGATAATACTTTGGAAGGCTATGTAGGTGATCTCCTCGCAATGGTGACCCAGAAAGATTCTTCAAGCGATAAAATATTACGATAAGTAAAATTTTCAAGTCTAAAATTCAGAGATTACTTCTTGAACGCCAAAAAAATGACGGATCGAAGAAGTGAGGATCAAAAAGGAATTATTTTTGGAAAAGTTTATCTACTGGAAAATCATTTTACGTCAATCGTTCGCAAATATTATTATTATTATACAATTATATTTACTGAAAAATTTTTTACAACATAAAGTCTCAAGATTTTCGAAATATCTTGTAAAGGCAAACCTTTTTCACCACCGGATGCTTCCAGAATAACAAATTTCCAATGTGAGTGCTCCGAAAAATCCATGTACTTGCGCTAAATAATAATGAACAATTGATAAATAAAAAAAAATTCACTGTACAATGTTTCAATTGGATGAGAAAAAACTACAGGAAAAAGAGGATTTGCCTGGAGAGGGGAGAGCCGGGAATGATTAGTCACCTATATATAGTATATAATCTCAATAATTTGCCAAGTAATTGGTATAAATTGGATAAAGAAGATCCCTACGTCGGAGTGATAGGAGCGAGTGGTAGTGAATTTAGCGGAGAGCGATCGCACCAGTAAACTCCTTGAAATATTGATCCCTGAAAAACGGGATGAGAGGGATGCTACGGCACATGCCCAACTGCCAACTCTCAGCTGGTTACTCAAACCCATCCCACCACCAACACCACATAACACACACACTGTTCAGACCTTAACATTCCTAGCAAGTGTAAAAATGTGCACCACCATGCCGCCTCATTGTTGTTGAAAAGTTTCATAGATTAACAATTACAATGTTTATCAATCGTTAATTGTGATACAATTGCTATATGTGAAATGTAGTTGATAAATTAAATTGCCGTTAAGGCAGGATTTACTCGGCTGGACTGTCACAGAAACGGTGAGTTTATTCTGCATTTCCAAATTATTATTTTTTTGTCGTTTTTTGAATTTTTTATCCAATAGATTGTCCTTTCTCTATTGTCCATTGAATGAAATGACATTTTGAGATTTATCTCTAGTTTTTTATCGTTTGTCCCCATTTTCAACGGATTTTAAGTGATAAAAGCCGCAGATTAGTCAGCCCCCGCCCATTCTAAAATATCTGCGCAAATCTCCACTGAAAAAAATGAGATTTAACCGCTTGATTATTTATTTTCTCCAACAGTGGATACTTTAAATCGGTATTTAAACGAGTTCATTAATGTTCGCGTTCCTCAAAAATTAATTGGAGTGGTTGGAATATTTATGCGTGTCTGTCTGGCTCGACACGTGCCACTCCAACGGCAAAATCAATTAAGTTGTTATAGATATTGTCATATAGCTATTTGAATGTCGAGTGATGATTCTTTCATCGTGAACTTGTTACAGCTTAATTATTGACAATAATAAGGGGAATATTAAGAGTGCGTGGACGTAAGTATTAAATGGGTAATTGATGTGTTGATGATTTGGGGTGATTATAAATATATCACAGCAGAAACTTTAGCTCTTCAATTTGCTTGCTCATTTAAAAACACTACTCATTAATTATTCATACATACAACTATTGAGTATTCAAATATTTTAAACCATTAATATTTGAAATTCTTAATATTAAAATTCAGAGACATTGGAAAAGAATTGGCTGTTGATATAATTGTAGTCACATAAGTGTGCTGCAAGTGTAAAATTAATCAGATAAAATAATTGTTACAAAAAATGCAGCATTTTCCTAACATGTGCATGGGAACACATTCCCCAAAAGAACAGGCCAGCTATAGGTATATTAAAAATGTACGTGTAAATTAGTAGCTTGAAAGATACGCAGTATGTAAAATGTTAAATTCCTTGATGAATCCCAGCAGAACAATTACACTCTCCCACATGTCCTAGAAGAGTACTTGAGCAACAAATGAATGTCGAAATTCCGCTGACCTGTGGCCACAGCAACTGGCATACGAGAATGATGCCAGGATTTCATTGAGGCCTCATCATTTTATTCATTTGAATTTCAGTTAATGAGCATTAATGTACATTTTTTGGCATTATTTCAGGCCTCACCATTGCGAACATAATCCCTATTATGATGCTTGGGCGCAAGCAGAGCCTCAAGGGGGAACCCATCCTGGCCGATTACGGCCCGGAGGAGTCCCTCAATGAGAGCGCAGACATTGAATGGGTGAATAAGGTAATAAACGATAATCTCCAGTCATTCAAGAGAATGTATTGAGGAAATCCGGGGTAATATTCAATCATATTTCATCTTCACTTTCACACATATTTTCATCAATATTTCCCCTCGTATTTTCCATCTATTTCACCAAATGATACACCGAAAACAATAAACTATTGAATCAAGAATATTTTATACTTGATTCAAATTTATTTTTTCGTGTAATCTTCATTGGGTGGTAAAAATTCATAGAAATTAACAACTCATTCAATAATGGAAATTCTATAGGCTATTATCACTCATTTGTGGACTATTTTCATTTCTATTAAATTTATTATTGCTCGGGAATTTATTGTTCATTTCTGTGCTGATTGGTATTTCCAGTGGTTTAATTTCATTGTTTCATTCACTGTTTACTGACATTCATATTAGTAAAATAATGTTTATTAAATTTTTTGATTCTGCCTACCTCTCATCATATTCTACTTGTCATATTAATTTAGTTCATTGGACAATA